TACTGGGCGGTACTGGGAGGTTTCTGGGTTTTATTGGGACTTACTGGGAAGCTTCAAGGGGTTACTGGGAGTCACTGGGAGGCTTCTAGGGGTTACTGGTGGTCATTAAGAGGTTTGTAGGGGGTGCTGGGGCTTACTGGGAGTCACTGGGAGTTCTCTGCGGTTACTGGGACACAAGTGGGAGTCACTGGGAGTTTTGTACGGTTACTGGGAGCTATTGGGGGTAACTGGGACACAAGTGGGAGTCACTGGGAGTTCTGTATGGTTACTGGGAGCTACTGGGGGTTACTGGGACACGACTGGGAGCTACTGGGAGGACACCAAGTGCCTGCTGGGGGTCGCTAGAAGCCAGAAGGGGGTTACTGGGAGCTACTGGGAAAAGCACTGGGTGCCTTTTGGGGGGGTCCCTTCTCCGCCCCGACCCCCGGGGCACAGCAGCCCATGGGAGCCAATGGCCGCCCCTCCCCCAGCATTAACCCCGCCCCCATCAAAGTGCCTTTGGGGGAGGGGGAAGCCCTGCCCCTCTCCCCCCAATAAATTGGGGTGACTGGGGGTCACCCCAATAAACGGTCCAAGGCCCGCCTGCGTTTGATTGACAGCTGGGGGCGTGGCTTGGGATCACAGGGGCGTGGTTTGGTTACAGGGGTGTGGTTTAATTCAGGGGGCGTGGACTATTTTTCCCGGGGCGCGTCCAAGCCGGCTCTCTTACTCGGGGTGGCGCCATTTTACCGGAAGGGGCGGGGCCTCGTCCCGGAAGGGGCGGGGCGCGCCGGGGAGGCCGCGGCGGAGCCGAGCGGGGCCGGGGCCGGGCCGGGAGCGGCCGGAGCGGGGCCGGGAGCGGCGGGGCCGGGGCCGAGCGGGGCCAGGCGGGACCCTCCGGGATCCCCCGGGGCCCCCCGGGGCCAGCGAGGCGGCCATGCCGAGCAAGAAGAAGAAATACAACGCGCGCTTCCCGCCGGTACCGGCTGAGGGGCACAGGGCGGGGTCGCCATGGCAACAGGGGGGGCGCGGGAAACGGGGGTTACCGAGGCAACGGGCAGGGCGGGGTCGCGTCACCATGGCAACGGGGGGATGAAGGTCTCGATGGTAACGGGGAGGGCGGGGCGGAGCTCGAGGGGTGGGCGGGGTTTGGGGGGACGGGGTGGCACCTGAGGGTGCAGGTGTGGCGGGGCGGGCCTGGGGGGGGGCTCTATAGGTGAGGGGGTTCAGATGAGGGCGGGGCTCAGGTGAGGGGGGTTGTTCAGGTGAGGGGGGGCTCAAGTGAGGGGGGTTCAGGTGAGGGTGGGTTCAGGTGAGGCGGGTTCAGGTGAGGGCAGGGCTCAGGTGAGGGTGGGTCTGTGGCAGGCGCGGATCAAGAAGATCATGCAGACGGACGAGGAGATCGGGAAGGTGGCGGCTGCCGTGCCTGTCATCATCTGTATCCTCTAGCACATCTGGGCACCCCTGGGACCCCGCCCTGCACACCTGGGCACCCCTGGGACCCTGCCCTGCACACCTGGGTGTCTCACCTGTGTCCTTGGGGATGTCACGTGCATACCTGGGTTTCTCACTTGTGTCCCTGGGGGTGTCACTTGTGTCCCTGGGGGTGTCACCTGTGTCCCTGGGGGTGTCACTTGTGTACCTGGGCATCCTTAGCGTGCCAGCGCGGGCCCTGGAGCTGTTCCTGGAGTCGCTGCTGCGCAAGGCTTGTCACGTGACCCAGTCCCGCAACGCCAAGACCATGACAACGTCTCACCTGTGAGTGCTTCACCTGTCCCCACCTGTCCTCACCTGTGAGTGCCTCACCTGTCCTTACTCGTCCCCACCTGTCCTGACCTGTCCTCACGTGTCCCAACCTGTCCGTGCCTGTCCTGACTTGTCCTCACTTGTCTTTACCTGTCCTCACCTGTCCCCACCTGTACTCACCTCATTGGCACATCTGGGGCACCTCTGGGAGGTTCCTGACACACCTGAGGCACCTTCTGTGGCTGGGTGTGGCCTATCCCAGGTGAGGGTGGGCGTGGCCCGTCCCAGGTGTGCTGGGCAGGCTCTGACACCCCCCCCCCCCACAGGAAGCAGTGCATCGAGCTCGAGCAGCAGTTCGATTTCCTCAAGGACCTGGTGGCCGCCGTGCCCGACATGCAGGGGGACGGTGACGACCCCCACGGCGACGGGGAGAGGGGACCCCGCAGGTGAGAAACACCTGAGACACTTGGGGACACCTGAGGGCAGACCTGGGAAACCTGGGGACACATTTGGATACCTGGAGGGATACTCTGAGATACTGAGGGGACACCCCAGACACCTGAGTGAGGTCCTGGAGACACCCCTGGACTCCCTGGGGACACTCCTGGCATTTTGGGTGACACCTCGAGACGTTTGGGGGACACCTTTGGATCCCTGAGGAACCCCTTGGACACCTGAGGGAGGTTGTGGCACACCTGAGGGACACCTTGGGACACTCCTGGACACCTGGGGGGATCCTGGGGTACCTAGGGGACACCTGAGGGACCTTTCAGGTTCCTCTGGGACACACCTGGAGGACCCTGGCCATACCTGAGGTCCCTGCTGGGAGTGTCAGGAGGGATTTTGGGGTCTCTGAGGGGGGGATTTGGGGCGGTTTTGGGGTCCCCGAGGGGGGGATTTGGGGCGGTTTTGGGGTCAGTGGGTCTCTAATGGGGGGGCGTCTCTTTCAGGGGTCGCCGCCCCGGCAGTGGCCGCAAGAACGGGGGTCCCGGGGCCAAGGGGACCCCGAAACAGTCGGGGACAGACTCGGAACAGGAGGTAGGGGAGGGTCCTGGGAGGGACTTTGGGGTCCCGGGGGCGACTTGGGGGTCCTAGGGGGGATTTGGGGGGGTCCCAGGGTCAAGGGGAGCCCAAAACAAATCAGGGATTGATTTGGAACAGAAGTGGGGCGGGGGTCTCAGGGAGTTTGGGGTTTTTTGGGGGCCCTCTGCGGGGGTCTGGGGGAGTTTGGGGGATCCCACCTGAAGGGGAGGGGGCTGTACCTGGTTGTGGGGTCACGTCTATGGGGGACAATTGGGGGGTCCGGGGGGGGGTTTGGTGTTTCTGGGTTCTCTCCGGGGGGTGTTTTGGGGATCCCCTGGGGATGGGGAGGGGTCTGGGGTCCCCTCATTGTCCCCCCTCGCCCACCCCCCAGGAGGACTCTGAGGACAGCGACAGCGACGGGGACGAGGAGACGCCGCAGCCCCCCCCGGCCCCGCCCCCACTCACCTTCGCCAGGTGGGTGCCCTCCCCACCTGAGTCACCTGGGGAGGGGGGGGTGAGTGGATGGGGGTGCACCCCCCTCCCCCCCGTCCCTGGGGGGCGTTTGGAGGATTTGGGGGGGATTTTTTCGGGGGTTTCCCCCCCCTCAGTGACGTCTTTTCCCGCAGCCCTGGGGTTCCCTTCGCCCCCCTGGGCCCCCCCAGCCTCCCGGGGGGGCTCCCGGGGGGGCTCCCCCCGGCCCCCGGCCCCCCCCGCGCCCGGGAGGAAGAGGAGGAGGATGAAGATTACGATTCCTAGCGACCCCTCCCCAAATCTTTGCCCATTTCTCCAGGATTTCCCCCCATTTTGGGGTCAGGGGCCACCTCCCAGTAGGGCCTTACTGGGAGCTGGGCCTGGCCCCAGTTTGGGGGTGCTGCGGGTTACTGGGAGAACTGGGATCCCCCTCCCTACCCCACTGAATGAATTGTGTCAGTTTTGGGGGGGGCTCAGCCTGGGCTCTTGGGACCCCCCCCGGACACACCTGGGACCCCTTTTTTGGGGGTGGGAGGGGTCGGGGTTGGATTTTGGAGCTCTTTGGGGGCATTTGCTGAGTCGGGGGTTTTGTATCGGCTCAATAAAGTTCCTGTTTCCATATGGACCCCCCCCAAAAGAACCCTGGGACCCCCAAAACCCTGACACCCCCAAACCTGTGAATCCCCTCCCCAAATTCCTGGGACCCCTCCCCAATTCCCGTTTCCTTTCCCAACCGCCAGAGGGCGGCAGAGACCCCGTGGGACCCTATGGGGGCCTATAGGGGATTATTGGGGGGGGGGTCTGAGACGGTTTTGGGGGGGTATGGGGTCCTCAGGGGTTATAGGGGTTAATAGAGGGGTCGCGGGGGTCTCTAGAGGGTTTTGGGGGGTTTATGGGGCTCCATAGGAGGTCTGTAGAGGAGTTACAGGCACTTGTGGGGGGTCACGGGGGTCTAGCATAGGGGATTTATTGGGGTCTGTAGGCACCAGTGGGGGGTTAGGGGGGTTATAGGGTCCTGCAGGGGCACCGAGGACTTAGAGATCTATAGGGGCCTGCTGGGGGGGCTGTAGGACCCTAAAAGGGGCGGTTAGAGGGGGGTTTAATGAGCTCCTATAGGGGCTCCCAGGGCTTTATAGGAGCTTTAGAGAGATTTGCAGGCTCTGTTTGGGATTAGTAGGGGTCGGGGGGCATCTATAGGGGCTGTGTGGGGATCTATAGGGGTTCTGGGGGATCTGTAGGGGCTCTCGGGGCATCTCCTGGGGTCTCTATAGGGACTCTTTGGGGTCCGAGAGGCGACACCAAAGCTGGAGGGGGAGTCCCTAAATTTGGGGAGGGGTTCTGGGGGTGCCGATCTATAGGGGTGTCTCCTATAGGGTGTCCCTGTCCCCGCGCGGGCGGGCGGGGGGACCCAGAGGCGTCCGGACCCCCCCGCGGCGCTGGAATTCGCCCCCTTCCCCCCCCCCACCCCGGTTAATCCCGGTGGCACCAAAAGCGGCGCTTTTGGCCTCGTTGTGTAACGGGAGAGAGCGCGGGGACCGCGACGGGGACAGGGACCCGCGACAGGGACAGGGACCCGCGACAGGACAGGTGAGACTGGGACAGGGACCCGCGACAGGGACAGGGACCCGCGACAGGACAGGTGAGACAGGGACAGGGATCGTGAAGGGGACAGGGACAGGTGAGACAGGGACAGGGATCGTGAAGGGGACAGGGACAGCACCGGAGCACAGGTGGGGACACGGGGGGACCCCCGGGACAGGGGGCAGGTGGGGTCTGGGGGAGCAAAGGTGAGGGGGAAACAACACATGGGGACAGTGGGGGGACCTCGGGATGGAGACAGCACCAGGACAGGTGGGGGGGGACAGGTGGGGGACAACGAGGGGGGACAGCAGGGGATGATGGGATGGGGCAGGGACAACGAGGGGGGACACACAGGGACAGGTGAGGGCAGCAGAGATGAGTTGGGGACATTGTTGGGGGGTTGGGGACATTGTTTCAGGGAGGGGAGGGGAAGGGACATCGGACAGATTGGGGACATCATGGGGCACACTGGGATAAACTGGGGAACTTGAGGGACATGGGTTGGGTTGGGGACATTGAGGAGAATGGGGGGGACATCAGGGAGGGGTTGGGGACATCACAGAGGGGACCCTTCACCTTGGGGACACGGAGTCACAGCTGGCCGGATGTCCCCATCCCTGGGGAGCTGCGCCGAGGTGGAGCAGGGACAGGGACACGCTGGGAGGGGATGGGGACATAGGAGGGGTTGGGGACATGTGACGCAAGTGGTGACACGGTCCCCAGTGGCCCCACGTCCCCTGCCCCACCTCTGGGTCCCCATGTCCCCTGTCCCCCTGTCCCTGTCCCCATCTCAGTGCTCCCGGTGGTGTCCAAGTCCTGTCCCTTGTCCCCATGGGTGGCTGTGTCCCCTATGGTGGTGTCCCCCTGTCCCAGTGTCTCCATGTCCTGCTGTCCCCAAGCCCCAGTGTCCCTGTGTCTCATCAACTGTCCCCTCACTGGGGGTGGTGATGTCCCCATGGTTGGTGGTGTCCCCACGAGTGCTGCTGTCCCCATGGGTGACACTGTCCCCCTGCACAGCAGTGTCCCCAAGGCTGGCAGTGTCCCCAAGGCCAGCGGTGTCTCCGAGGCTGGTGGTGTCCCTGTGGCCAGCGGTGTCCCCAAGGCCGGCAGTGTCCCCGTTGCCAGCGGTGTCCCTGTTGCCAGCAGTGTCCCCGTGGTGTCCCCGCGATGCCGTTCGGGGCGGTGCTGGCGCAGGTGGGGGGCCTGGGCCGGTTCCAGGTGCTGCAGACGGCGCTGCTGGCGGTGCCCATCCTGCTCATGGCCAGCCACAACCTGCTGCAGAACTTCACTGCTGCTGTCCCCCCGCACCGCTGCCGTGTCCCCACTGTCCCCAGCGCCACCCCCGCCGGCCCCAGCGCCACCCCAGCACCATCCGAAGCCACTCCCGATGCCACCTCAGCGGCCCCTCGTGACGCCTTGAGAGGCTCCAACACCGTCCTGAGGTCTCTTGGTGCCACCCTGAGGTCCCCCAATGGCCCCGGTGCCACCCACGTCACACTTGACGGCACCGTGGGATCCCCTGATGGCACCTGGAGATCCTCCAATGACACCCTGGGGCCCACTGGTGCCACGCTGGGGTGGTCCAATGTTACCCTGGGGTCCCCCGATGTCACCCTGGGGTCCTGCCAGCGCTATGTGGCATCGCCCCCTGCCAACGTCACCGGTGGTGTCCGGGCCACCGAGCCCTGCCGGGACGGATGGGACTACGACCGCAGCGTCTACGTGTCCACCATCGTCACCGAGGTGGGGACGGGGACACGGGGACAGGGAGGGTGGGGAGGGGACCGAGGTGTTCGGGGGGGGACAACAACTCTATGGGGACAGGGGGAGGGAAGGGAATGGGGGTTTGGGGTGAGGTGGAAGGGTAGGAGGAATAGATGGACATGGGAGGGATGGATGGATGATGGATGATGGAGAGGAAGAAAGAGGGACTGGCACTGAGAGATGTCCCCATGTCCCGGCAGTGGGACCTGGTCTGTGGCTACCGGCAGCTGCGGCAGATGGCCCAGTCCATCTACATGGCTGGGGTCCTGGTGGGTGCCCTGGTCCTGGGGGGCCTCTCAGACAGGTAAAGGCAGCAGAGACCCCCCCCCCCCCCGTTCCTCAGTTTCTCTGTGGGGCTCTGGACACCTCATCCCTGGTGGCTCCCAGTTGCTCCCAGTTGCTCCCAGTGGCTCCCAGTGGCTCCTGTTGCAGGTTTGGGCGCAAGGCCATGTTGATGTGGTCCTACCTGCAGCTGGGGGTGATGGGGACGTGCACGGCCTTCGCCCCCAACTACGCCTCGTACTGCGTGTTCCGCTTCGCCGGCGGGATGGCGCTGTCCGGCTTCGGCCTCAGCATCGCCTGCCTGGGTGAGGGGACAGGGGACAGCCCGCTGGGCAGGGGGGGACACGGCCTTGGCACGGAGAGGGACAACGCAATGGTCATGGATGTGGACATCCCAATGGCCACGGGTGGGGACATCCCAGTGTTCATGGTGGGGACACGTCTGACCGTGCTGAGGTGGCCACACTGAATGGGAGGGTCCCAGAGCTGTGGGAAGACCCCAAGTGAGCCGTGTCCCCGTGTCCCTGGCAGTGGTGGAGTGGATCCCCACCCCGTACCGCGCCATCACCGTGGCCATCACCGGATTCGCCTACACCCTGGGCCAGATCATCCTGGCCGGGGTTGCCTACGCCGTCCCCCACTGGCGCTGGCTCCAGCTCTCCGTGTCCCTGCCCTTCTTCGTCTTCCTGCTCTACTCCTGGTAGGACTTTGGGTCCCTCGGGGTGGCCGTGGTGACTCGGGGAGTGCCGGCCGTGCCTCAGTTTCCCCCCGGCTGGGGGCTCCGTGCAGGTGGCTGGCGGAGTCGGCGCGGTGGTTGGTGCTGTCGGGCAAGGCCGAGCGGGCCGTGAAGGTCCTGCAGCGCGTGGCCGCATTCAACAACCGCAAGGAGGAGGGCGAGAAGATCACGGTTGAGGTGCGGTGGCCCCATGGTGGGGGTGGGGAGGGGTGGGGGTGGTTTCTAGCCCCCCCCCCCCCAACCTCTCCCCTTTCCCAGATGTTGAAGTCCAACATGAAGGAGGAGTTGGCGGCTCTGAAATCCTCCTACACCGTCTCCGACCTGGTCCGGACCCCCGTGATCCGGCACATCTTCTTCTGCCTCTCCATCGTCTGGTGGGGCTGGGGGCGAGGGGGATGGAGAGAGGGAGGGGTGGAGGGATGGGAGGGTAGATGGACACATGGTTGGTCAGACTCACAAATGAAGGGAAGGATGGACACCTGGACACCCAACCAGTGACCCCACCCATCCATCAGCCTCCCAACTCCCTCCTTCCCCACCTGCCATCCCTGTCCCATCCTGTCCCTCAAGGATGTCACCTCAAGGTCCTCCCTCTCCCACCTTGCTCCAGGTTCTCCATCAGTTTCTCCTACTACGGCCTGGCCATGGACCTGCAGAACTTCGGGGTCAGCATTTACCTCATCCAGGTGATTTTCGGTGCCGTTGACTTCCCGGCCAAGGTGGTGGTGACCGTGTCCCTGAGCTACGTGGGCCGGCGGCTCTCGCTCGTGGTGGCCTTGTTCTTGGCAGGGCTGGTCATCGTGGCCAACATCTTTGTGCCCACAGGTGGGTGTGGAGGGGGAGGGGCTCTCCTTCACTCTGGCCACCAGTGTCCCCAGCTCGTCACATGTCATCCTCCGTGTTTCCATCGCTGCGTCTGACCACTCACCTCCCTATCCCTAAATCCTCCCTCCCTCCTCTCTTGTCCCCACCTGCCCGAGGTGTCCCCACATGGTGGTCAAGCCCTGGCGTCCCCATGTCCCCACACCCGGTGTCCCCGTGTCCCCACACCCGGTGTCCCCGTGTCCCCGCAGAGCTGCAGACGGTGCGCACGGCGCTGGCCGTCATCGGCAAGGGCTGCCTCTCCGCCTCCTTCAACTGCGTCTTCCTCTACACCACCGAGCTCTACCCCACCCCCATCAGGTACGGCCCCGTCCCCACGTCCCCGCGCTGGGGCAGGTCCCCGTCCCCCTTCCCCGGCAGCCCCTGACCCCCCGTGACCCTCCCGGCGCCGCAGGCAGACGGGGCTGGGCTTCGGCAGCACCATGGCGCGCGTGGGCGGCATCGTGGCGCCGCTGGTGAAGATGATGGATGAGTATTACCCCTTCCTGCCCCCCGCCGTCTACGGGGTGGCACCCGTGGTGGCGGCCGTGGCGGCCGCGTTCCTGCCCGAGACCCTCAACGCGCCCCTGCCCGACACCATCGAGGAGGTGGAGAACAGGTGGGTGGGCGGAGGGATGGGAT